TTGTTGATTCTATAAACTCTATTTTCTTCTCTAGGACTGGATCCATCAAAAACACAAATATTTCTTATGTGATGACTTAAGAAACCTGTCATTTCTATATACTTCTATATCTATTAAATGTATAGGTTAAGTAGAAATGAAGGAAAGGAAAAGAAGATTTTATAAATGAGAAATGTAAAATGCAATGATACCACCTATCTATAGACCAATTGGAGTCTCACTCTCTCTCAAGCATGTGTATGTATAGGTAGTTCTGATTGTGGCTCACACCTTCCCTTGGTTTTACGTCCAAGAATGGCTTAAACGCCCTCTATGGGTCAGAGATAGGCTTCTCATCTAGTTTTCTTAAAAATTGACAAACATGGTCTTTTATAGTCAGATTTCCAAGACTATGCTGAGGAAGGTTTTTAAGAAAATGGGGTTATAAGTCATGAAATGCACAATACACATTGCCACTAAGATATATCCCAAAAGTCATTAAGAGAATATCTAAAAACTCTTTATGTTTGGAAACAAATCCTAACTTTTGATAATTTTCATAAGCTTTGCAGAATATATGTGTGTCTTTGAACATGATGGACCAATAGAATCTATATTGTAAGATTTTTGCAGTTGTCTTCTTTCATGAAAAATGATTCCCGTGTGCCTCAAAATGATAAAATTTAATGACACAACTTACTTTATTATCAGGAATGCATCTTCAAAATATTTGATCAAGATAATATTTGAATAAGTAAGTGGCATCCCAATAAAAGTTCTTCACTTCGTTCAAAAACTTTCTTTTATCTTGGGTACTCCAATGAGCTAGCAAATCTCCTGAAGAAATAAAATTGATATGATTAGCAAACCAATTGGACAAAGAGAAAGTAAAGATTCGTCAAGTAATCATCGATTGGTGGGATGTTAGATATAGAATCTATTGTCACTCTTGATAAAAGATCCTCATCAACATTTTCGGTGCCTTTCTTATTCATGATTTCTTCCTGAAAATAAGTCATTTGCAAATCTTGAGATTCATCAAACTTAATTTTACTTAAAGTAAATTCAAGTTGATCATAAACTAATTATTCAATAAGATCTACTTGTAATTCATTATCATCCCCAGGTTGCTTGTAAATGTTGAAAATATCCATGTCCAATGTCATGTTTTCAAATGATAGCTTCATCAGTCCATTCCTATAATTAATCAATATATTAGAAGTTGCTAGAAATGGACATCATAAAATAGCATGAAATGAATTATATGCTTCAACAGGTTGTGTGTCCAAGATAATAAAATCCATAGGATAAATGAATTTATCAACTTGTAGCAACACATCTTTAATTATTCATCTGAGCACTTTTGCAGATCTATCGGTAAGTAAAAGAGTTACAGAAGTTGGTTTTAACTCACCTAGATTGAAACTCTGAAAAACTGAATACGAAATTAAATTTCACTAGCTCCAAAATCAAGTAAAGCTCTTTTAATTTTCTATTCTTCAAAAAGCAAGAAATTATAGGACAATCAGAGTCTTTATATTTCAAAACATTATTGTTTTGAAGAATGACACTTACTTGTTCAGCTAAAATGATTTTCTTTTTCACATTCAATTTTCTCTTCACAATGCATAAATCTTTCAAAAATTTAGCATAGGAAGGTACTTGTTTAATAGCATCGAACAAAGATATATTATTGATCCTTACCTGTTTGAAATTTTCAAAGATTTTAAAGTTGTGATTGATTTTTCTTTGTTTAATCATGGTATAAGAAAATAGAAGTGCTAGTGGGAAATCAGTCTTTTCTTGGGAATATTCAAATTCAACCCCTTCCTTACCCTCAAATATTAACTCATCATCTTTCTCACAAGGTTCAAGAATGAGTTTTTCAATAACCTGATCATTGTGGAGAGTAATGACTGATTTGACTTAATCTGTATGTTGAACTACTTGTATTTGTATTAAATTGCCCCTTGTAATTTTATTATGGTTGAGATGGAAACTTACCTTTCTCTTGAAAACTGAGAGCATATATGAGTTTTGCAAGAGCATCTTTTAGATTTGTCATGGTTTGAGCATTATGAGTGTTAATTGTCTCCTAACTTTCAATGAATGCATGCAACATTTTCTCAAGATTTCTTCTAGGAGGTAGAGCATTACAAAGTCTACCACTTAATGTACGTGACCAAACTCTCATACACATGTAGAAAAAGAATAAAAGAAAAAAAAAACAAAACAAAAATAAGCAAAACAAAAAAAGCAAAAGTTAGATATAAGAAAAGTAAAAAAAAGAAAATAAAATAATATCATCATTTATACAAGAATTTACCTCCCCGGTAACGTCGCCAAAAACTTGACATGACTAAAAGATTGATGTCTTCTCCCAAATGTAATAGTGTTGAAGTAATAAATAATCCGGCAAAGTAATAATAATAATAATAATAATAATAGTGATGGTGATGGTGATGGTGATGGTGATGGTGATGGTGATGGTGAGTTAAAGATAGCTTTAGATGGTGATGGTGATGGTGATGGTGATGGTGATGGTGATGGTGATGGTGATGGTGATGGTGATGGTGATGGTGATGGTGA